TCACCGCTCCAAGCTCAATCCGGTGATGGACTATGATCTCACTTTTAGTTTACTCATCTGTATTTAAATTGTAGTGCACCGTGGGAGTGAGCTTGGAGCGGTGACTACTTTAAAACACACACAGGGACCATGGGGAATAAAAGTAGCCCCCCTCCAGAAGGAAGCACATTGTCGGCACCAATTCAGAGATGATTGGAGGATCTACAGCCGAGTGATACACAAATAAGAGACATTTTTATTAATAGTTAAGGTACTTAACTCCTGAGTTTTTAGTGTCACTTTAACAATGAATGGAGGGAAAGGAGAAGGAAGGGGCAGAGGAGGGGCAAAGGAAAGGAAGAAGTAGCGACTAGGTCTTGTCATTTGAAGCTACCATCTCGGTAAGAGTTTAATATGGTACATCTGAGAACACCTCCTTTCCTGTTCTTGGGCAGCCTGCACCTGCCTTGACACATTCCATGTTGATTGGATGAAGGTGTCTATGCTTCCCGTGTGAATATAAATGTTGGGTATGTTGCTGACACTCATTCAAACTGAAGAAGTGGCTTGGATAAGCTGTTAATCTACAACATTACAGAACAAGGTCAGTTGCTGTATAAGTAACTTGAGGAATCTTGACAAGGTATGGAGGGGAAGGAGATGTAAGGGATAGAGTAGGAGAGAGGGAAGGAAACACAGGTAGCTACTAGGTCTCATCACTTAGGAGTGTCATCACAAGGTCTCATCACAATAGGAGTGGAAGCATTATACCATGGATGGACAAATGAATTTAGAAATGGGGAGTCAGTCTAACCAATCCAGGAATCTGCTGGTTTTCTTTTTTTTTAGGCGCTAACTCCATTGCCAATAACTAGATTAAACTTCAAAAGTTGGGCACCAGCTGTAATTTTTTTAGGAGCATTGACTACCTGGCTCCTGGGATTCGCCCTGCCCTGCATTTTTCTTTTAGTATATCTGAGACCGGGGGGGGGGGTTTGTTCCACAACTTTTACACCAGCTTTCCTGTTCTTGGACAGTAAACATCTGCCTGTCACATTCCATAGTTATTGGATTAAGGTGTCTGTGCTTCCTGTATGGATTTAAATGTTTGGGTTTGTTCCTGGCACTCTTGGATGAGCTATGAAACCTCAAGTCCACTTTAAAGTGACTACTACTAGCTATATTTACTAGACTTCTAAAATAGGAATCTGTATGTGGGTAACATTGGTCCCAAGTTCCCTGGTTATCTCCATCCATCCCAAGCTCTGGGAAACCGTAAGGCCCCGACTCAGTGGGCTTTGAACAGACTCGCGTGGCTTTTCCCTTTTTTATATTAAGCGTGGACGATCTCCCAGCTAGTTCTCTCTTTCAGATGGTTTAATTTCCACCTGCAGTCGTGAATCACAATCTCGCCAAGATCATCTTGTATTATGCAGTGGAATAAGCTGCACAGTCTAATGAACGGCGTCCCGCTGCAAAGGCGCCAAGCATCGGGCATGTGGAGATCAGACTATTATTCAGCCATCCAGAAGTGCTACTTAGAACTGAATTGGAATATGGGAAAACACAGAGGCAATGTATAAAGGGGATGAAAGGTTTCTCGTTGCTAGGAAGGTTGGGAGCGAAGGGAGGGAGAATGTATCAGCCAAAGATCCGTGGAGCTGTAGGTCATCTGTAGATGATAAGAAGCAGAGGCTGCAGATGATATCTAAGCAATTAGCCTTTGAGGGGAACTTTGGGTTGGAGACACACAGGAGGCTGGTATGAAGTACTAAGCTGCAGAATAAGCTTACAGCTACAGCAGAAATACTGCCAAACACTTTAAATTCACTTGTGTGAATGGTGTTACCTGTAAAATATATGTAACCCTTCAGTTTCACGCTTCCCTTTCACACTATATCAGCAACAGTTATTCATTGTTCCTGCGTCTTCTGTCACCAACCTGCACATTGGAATGGGGAGCTACAATCTACACCAGTGGTTTTCAACCTTGCTAGGGCCGGGACCCCTTGGTAACATTTGCCAAGTTGTGGTGACCCCCAACGGTAAAATTTAGGGTTGACGCGGCTGCTGCAGCGACATCTGGCGGCGTGGCGGGAGAACTGACACTGCTGCGCTAGGAGAGGGCTGAGGAGGACTCTCACCTAGCACAGCAGAAATCACACAGCGACCAACAGGTTAAGAACCACTGCTGTAACAGCCAAAATGGCAAACCATATAACACAAGCTGACGGTGTCAGCTTTTAATAATGATAATAAAAGGTTTGTTTTCTTTTGGAAAAAAATTACTATTGTCCTTCCTTCTCTCTCTCTCTCTCTCTCTCTCTCTCTCTCTCTCTCTCTCTCTTCTAGTTCTCAACCTGCCAAGCTGGAAACCGACCGGATTTCAAACCTCCCTTCCTGTTTGTTCTATCTTTCTAAGTTAACTCATCTTAAAACTTTCAGACGTTTCTGGGCCACGCTTGCCGCTCTCTTTGATGGAGATTGGCAGATGGACTTGCGAAAGCAAACGCAAATCAGACGGGGAAAGCTCGCTGCTCTTGTGGTTCCTTTAACCTGGTGCTGTCGCCTCCCTGCACCCATAGGTTCCTTTATATTGGAAGCTGACACAGCAGAAACTTAAAGCTGTACTCCAGGCAGATATTAAAGATACAAACAAGGCCAGTTCTGTGTTCAATATTATATCATTTAGTGTCAATTATTTTGTTTTGTTTACCTGAATTTGGCTCGGTATTCGCTTCTTGTGAATCCCGGTGCTGCAGAGCTCTGACTGAAGGAAGCAGTGTAAGAAGCCAATCAGGTGTGCTGCAGTGGAAGGAGCTTGCTGATTGGAAGAGAGAACAAAGCGACAAATGAGCTCTGCAGTCTGCTGTTTCTCATATCTCTGTCCAGTCACAGGCTGGAGGTGGGGAGGAGACCTGTAAGTGTTACTGAACTGCAGCAGAGAAATCTCAGGTCTCCTCTTCTGGCAGGCAGGGCTCTGCTGTTTTCAGAGCTGTGTAGATCTCAGAATGTGGTGGACAGAAACACAAATCCTTTTTCAGGTTGAGATTATTATTATCCCATGAGGCATTGCAAGACTGACAGTTACAGGCATGACTCCCAGAGTCAGGGGCACGTTGGCATTTGTTGTTGAAGCACAGCTGGAGGGCTGGAGTTGTCCGCCCCGGCACTAGATGGTGCTATTCTTTTGAGCTGAATGAATTCACTAACACATTATTATACATGAGGTAGCTGTTGTAGCTGTGGCAATGAATTATGTGAGAATGTGAAGGTTCAGTGGTTAGGTTGAGGTGGGATCACATCTCTTTATTTGTTCAAAACACTTTGATAGAAGCCACGCAAGGACCTGATTTTTGTTTTAGTATCAGCCTCTTGCAGTCCCTGTACAGTAGAGCTTAGACTGGGGAAGGGAAAAGCAGCACATGTGCTAATATAAGCACTGCAGCACAACATGCTAATAGGAGGAGAGAGCTCATTAGTCTGCTGCTTCTCCTTTCACTGTACAATCAGAGGGTGGGTCAGGACCTGTAACGTAACTGTTGCTGAACTGCAGCAGAGGAAAATTAGGGCTCCTCCCTTCCAGACAGCTGTGTGGCAGAGCTGTGCAGATTTCATAACTGGATCGTCTCCTATATAAATCCTTTGGCAGGTGAAACAATACCCTTCTATGTATTTCATCTGTGTATTTGGCTGTTTGCTCGTATCTCTCCAAGTGACAGAAGATATCTTCTTGGACAGTTGCCACCATTGGAAGATGTCCCCTCTCTTCCTTTTCTAGTGACCACACAACATTCCCACAATTATACTCCCAGAGACAGTGGTCACCAGGACTTGGGTGAATCTCCCCAGTGGGATACATACAACAATAAAACCTGACTGCTAGAGGTAGGGTGTGGGGAGCTGGATTGTGCAATATATTCAAAGTTCCTGATTGTTTGTCTTTCAATGTGGAGGGAATAGTCTCCCTATGGCCGGGTGGGCATTTCCGGTCCTTCACCTGTTGCGGACCTGTTCTTGTCCCATGAAGCTTTGTAAGACTGACAGTTGCAGGCATGACTCCCAGAGACGGGCTCCCCCCCCCCCCCAGTGCCCTAAGGCCTTGTTCACATTAGCAGCAAAGGGGCTGTAAAACCAGGCCGTTGCTCTGCCATTTTACCTCTCCCCCAGTCGCCTGCCGCAGCGTTAACACTGCGTCCGAACGGCGCTGTATACATTGCCACGGCCATGATTCTTTGCATAAAATATACAGCATGTTGCAGCTTGTCAAATGCAACCGTTGCAGTGAATGGGACCACCCTGCAACCGTGTGGGTACGCACTTGTGTTGTGGTATTGTAATAGGAATTCCTCATTGGAACTGCTTTCAGTAAGTGGCAGTATCGCCTCCTGAACACCGTGCCGCTGCTGCTCAACTGCCCCCCGAAAAGTGATCCACAGTGGGGTGCTTTTCAGAGGATGGAGGAGGATGCCCAACCATGGCCGGGAAGCCATCTTCAAACAACAACACATGAGAGCACCACTCATCAGGGCTTGGTATAGCTGAAAAAGTTGTATGCTGGACTTGTGAGCTAGAAAGATTCCTGAAGTGTATTAGGATTCTGTGCAGGAAAGTTTTAAACCGGCATCTGAATCGATCTTCTCCTGCTCCATCTGGATTCTTCCTATCTCACCAGTCCAGCATACATCTTATTCAGAGATGTCAAGCCCTGATGAAGCCCTTTGAGCCACTGTAACGTTGTTGTCTTTGTATGAATCAGGACTACAAATACATTTTTATCTGAACTTTACAAGACTGGCATCTGGCCTTTTCATCTTTACATGCCTGGCAATAAAACCCTGACGGGAGTTCTACTGAATCTTTCTAGGAATATGACATCCAAAGAACAAAAAAATGCTAAATTGAGCCTTTAATGTGGAGGTGGAAAGGTGATCAAATGCTCGTGTAGAAGGGAAATGCTGTACGTTATGACGCACAGACTTGCTGATATGTTTCTAATGCCTCATCTTGTCTATAGGGGTCTGTGGCTGCTGCGGAGCACTGCGTCCTCGCTATAAACGTCTGGTGGATAATATCTTTCCTGAAGACCCTAAAGTAAGTTCTTTCTTTTACTATTTAGTCTGCTTTGATATTCCTGTTCAAAGAAATACAAAGTGGCCTTGTAGAAGTATGTATCTGCAAAGCTTTCTTTTGCTAATTTTCCTACCATTGACAAAGGATGTAGCTCGGGGTTGGACCGAACCCGGACAGAACCTGACCTCCTCCAAATCCACTGCCACCCAATTAGCTGCACATAAAACAAAGGAGTGGGATGCTTGTAGTGACATCATTGACCTTATATGGCCATATTAGGCCATTATATTGACTAAATATTAGGGATGCACCAATACTGATTTTTCAGTATTGAGTACCAATATTTTGCTTTCGGTACTCACCGATACCTATACTGGTGCCAAGGCAATTTAGAAAGCCGGGCGGCGGGTAATGACATGCCGCCCGGATTCCTGATTGCCGGGAAGCCGGCTCCATGTTGTTTGGCCAGGAAACTGGCTTCCCTGCCAATCCTTATTGAGGCGGCTTCCTGGCCAATCAGAAAGCCTGGCAGCGAGTAATGACCCGCCCTCCCGGCTTCCTGACTGCCTGGGAAGCAGGCTTCCCAGCCAGTCAGCATCAAGCCGGCTGTTTGGCTGGCTCGATGCTGATTGGCCGGGAAGCCATCTTCAAACAACAACACATGAGAGCACCACAACCTGGCAAGATTTGGCCAGCTGGAAGCACTTTTGTAGGTCCGTATGCCATACGTCCTTGGCAGCGAAAGGGTTAAAGATGTAAAATGGGGGCCTTGTAGTGGAGATGGAAGGCTAGGAAATGGCTAGCACAGTTGTTTTATCTAGCGAGCCAGGTGGGGTAGCACTAAACAATGTAAGGAAACTCACAAAGGAAACAAAAACCTGAATGCAATAAAGCAGACGGTCTGAGGGTCGCGTGGCCCTGTGCAGAAGATAGTACCTTCGTCCTGTTTGGGAAGCGGCTGTGCAGAGCGTCAGCTATCTCCTTACTTTGTATGGTGTTGGAAATTCTGTGTTGGCTGGGAAGCCGGCTTCAATCAGAAAGGAGGCGGCTTTCCAGCCAATCAGGAAGCCGGGAGGCGGGTCATTACTCGCCACCTGGCTTCCTGATTGCCTGAGAAGCCGGCTACATGTTCCCCTATGCCTTCCGGTCAAAAGTTCTGCTATTGGGGAAGGTATCGGCGCATTTGGGCGAGTAATGCTCATAGGCCATTTGCATTTTAACCTACCAAATTTGAAGGTGCCCACGCTCGTATCAAGCTATTGATACAATTTATAGTTTTTATTTGCCAGTTGGTTGATTGCAGGCGTTGGGGTTTTTTTGATCAGATTTAATTTAAAAATTGTATACTGAATGGAATCTGAATTTATACAAAAAAAAAAGAAGTCTTGCATCGAAAGTCCTCTGCCACCAGATGATGCTGCTTTTCTGGGTTGAGTGACACCCAGCATTATTTAACCCACTTCCTGTTAGCCCAGGACATCAAGCACCCATCCTATGGTGGTGTTTCCTCAGGCCGCTGTGGGCACACAGGGGAGTGCTGCAGAATTCAGGACCGGCAAGAAGAGCTATGAGTATTTGGCATCATTGGAGACTGCAGAGTGTTTTGTTTCCAGACAAACATAACCTGCCTTAGGGCAGGTTCACACCATTTTCTGGTCCAGATCTGGTCTGGAAAATGGTGTGAACTTGCCCGCAGTTCCAGTGCATTCCAGACCAGACAAAATGAGACAAGCAGTATTTTTCTGGTCTGGTCTGGAACAGACTGTGCTGGTGTTAACAGAGGCCAGAAATAGCATAGGGATACATTGGGATGCATTTTGGGTCCGGAAACAAACTGGCCTGGTCTGGAGATGATGTGAATGAGTCCTAAGGCCTTGTTCACACCAAGTGCGTTCCAGGAGCAGAGCAGTTACAGACCGGAGCAAAACTCAGTGCGGGTCCAGAGCAGGTAAAAAAACTGCACTTTTTTACCAGCTCTGGAATGCATGCAAACGCATCAAAAACACATGCAAACGCACTAAAAGCCCATTTTTAAACTTTTTTTTTTTAACCAAAAACGGCCCAGAGCGCATCAAAAACGGTGTACAGTGATGTGCCGGCATAATCACTGTGCAGCACTACTACAAGGAAAGGAGAGTCTGAACATGTAATGAACAGATATGGCTGTCTGTGCCTACGTATTAGCATAAGCTATACATAGAAAATAAGATCTTCTAAAAGGTGAACATACACTAATAACATCGTTGACATAGGCTCCATTCAAACCTAGACGTAACATCGCTCAAAGCCAAGCGCAACAGAATGCTCAAGTCAAGGAATCCCGTTCATTTTTGTGGCGCCTCTTCACACCTGAGCATTTTGTTGTGTAAAGTTTCCTATTGAAGTCTATGAGACAAAAAAGTGCTGTAATCTGCCAAAAGGTAGCTCATGTACTTTTTATAGCGACTGGTGTTTTTGTGCTTGCAACAAAATGCTCAGGTGTGAACAGGGACCATTGAATGAATGGGATCCTTTGACTTGAGCGGTTTGTCGCGCTTAGCTTTTGAGCAACAAAATGCCTGCGTGTGAATGGGCACTAAAGTGGAACTGTACCCGAAGAGTGAAGATTTGTTGTGTTATAGGGAACATATAGAAATCTTAATTGTTCCTAAGCAGAACCCTAAAAATGTCCCTTTTGTCTTGAATTTGTGAAAAATATCAGTGCTCCTTTTTGGTATGCGAGTGTCTAGGCACCTCTTTTGTCTACAGCCCTCATAGCTGTATATCTGCAGCATGAGATCTATTAACTGCAGCCTCTGACTGCTAATCTGGAGATTTGGAGTGGGATCTGGTGATGTCACTGTTCTCCTTGCTGGAGGCTCTGACATGAGGAAGGAAAGCACTGCCTCTACCAAGATGGCCGCCTCTACTGCAGAACAAGGCTTGGTAAATCAGTAAAGGGGAAATTATCAGCTGGAAGGTGACCACAAGCCATACTGGTGACCATTTTTTTTGCTCTCTGCTTGCCTTTTTTGGGGGAATAGCTTCCGCAGTTCAATCCTCCTTTAAGCTAATTGCATGTATAGCCAAAGAACATAAAAAAAAAGTGGGTTTTTTTTCTTCTGTTTTCAGGATGGGCTCGTTAAAGCCGACATGGAGAAACTCACATTCTATGCTGTGTCTGCCCCGGAGAAACTTGACCGCATTGGGGCATACCTGGCGGAAAGGTTGAGCAGAGACGTGGTGCGGCATCGCTACGGGTGAGTGACGTTTGTTTTGTGTTCAAGTTGTACAAAGTCGGAGGGAAAACTTTGTCACTGCTGTTTAAAACTTCAGGTGAGGAAAAATAAGCAGGAATCCTTTTTTCCTTAGAAATGGGAGTCTGCAGTACAAATCTGGAACCTCCTTGAAGGCCAACTCCAACCTGATGGTTTTTGTTGTGTTATAAATGCAATGGGGAAGGGCTAGAACAGCAGTAGGCAACCTTGGCACATCTGGGGGTCATGCCTGTGGCTGTCAGATTATTGCAGTACCTCACGAGACTTGTAGTTCCACAGCAGTTAGCGTTCTGCGGTTGTCTACCCCTGGGCTAGAACACCAGGTTTTGAGGTGACCCTGTCGCATAATAAATTAAGCAAGCATGTACTTGTAAAGAGAAGAAGGCATACTTGACTTTCCTGCTGCCCGCCCTGCTGAACTCACCTCCTTTTGTGGCCTCTAGTCCCTTGAAGTCTACTGGGTAACTGACACTTTGGGGAGTGTCAATCTCCTGGGTCACCTGTAGTGCCCACTGGTTCCTCCACCTGACCTCCATGTCACTCCAGAAGGAACACTGTTGCATTACAGAGGTGGACGCTTGGTAAGATGTCCATTTCCAAGCAGATGAAGGGGGACCATTTGTCACGAGTGAAATGGTGGGTTTAGTGGCAGGGCCAATTGGAAAGGTAAACACCCCCTCTCTCTTTGCAGGTACTTGGTTGCTTGATAGAGTTTAATTGGGAGACAGGGCCATTTGCCAGACAGATCTTTTCGGTTTGTAAGGGTTAGAACTTCTGTCCATGCCTTCCCGTCCTGGTGAGAACCGCTCCTCTATTTCGTACCTTGTCACAGGGACAGGAAGTTGAGGAAAATCTCCACAGTAGGGTCACAAAAAATGCCTGGCATACATTTTAACTCTTTCCCACTGTATCCAAAAATAAGAACACTTTGAGAGCAGTTGGGCTGTACTACCCAGAGTCTTCCTATTGTGAAAACTCAAAATAAGGATGGTAACGTTGTTATATTGGTTCATTTCCTAGTACCGTGTCCCAGTCTCAAAGTGCAGCTCTTATTATTGCTGTCATTTTTTAAGATAATTTCTGTTTTTTATTGGCTTGTGAAGAATGACGTCCCATACATTGTCTAGTTGGTAAAATACATGTTTGTATTGTTAGCAATGTCTTCATTGCAATGGAGGCCCTGGATCAGCTCCTCATGGCCTGCCACTCCCAGAGCATCAAGCCGTTCGTGGAGAGCTTTCTGCATATGGTGGCCAAGCTTCTAGAGTCTGGAGAACCCAAGCTTCAGGTCTACGGAACAAATTCTGTAAGTTGTCAATTCTTCAATATCTTATTGGAATCGAAATTCCCTTGACTGTTGAATGTGTGTACATGCTTGTCTTGCTCAAACAAAGAGCAATCTGTGGACCATCCAAGCGGGCACTGTCCCTCTAGATCAGGGCTCTGGCCCTCCAACTTTGGTGAAACTGGATATCCCATAATGCATCTGCCTCTGGAGTTCATGCCTGTTGCTGTCAGTCTTGCAGTGCCTCATGGGACTTGTAGCTTAAAGGAGAACTATGGGGTCAGTGTACTGACCCCATAGCCAACCTATGGGGTCAGTACACTACTGAGCCAACCTGTGACAGTCTCATTGTCACAGGTTGGCTAGAACTATGAGGTGAGTGGAAATCACTCATCTCATAGTTCTCCTTTAACCACGGCTGACGTTTTGGCTCTGCTCTAGATGATTGGAGCTTTACTTGCCTATAATAAATGCCACAAGCATGGAAAGGTACTTTAGAAGAGAACTATGGACCAACCTTTTTTTTGGCTAGGGTACTTCAGGGTCACAGGAGGGCATTTACTAATGTAAACCAGTGACTCAAAACTCAGTATATAGCAAGCTATTGCCCTGCTATATGCTGGGAGCGCAGAGCCGCGCTGCAGCCGACACTGATCCCACCAATACTGTCTAGATCCACCCTGCTGGCTGACTGACGTGCTCTGCCCGCCCCCTCCCCTGCCCATTCCTTCAGTCTTTGGAATGTGGGAGGAAACCGGTGCACCTGACAAAACCCTCACAAGCACAGAGAGAACATACAAACTCCTTGCAGGTAGTGTCCTGACCGGGATTCAAACCCTGGACCCCGCAGTGCTGCAAGGCAGATGTATTAACCACTATGCCACTGTGGCTGTGTAGCAACATAACGCTTGTGATGGTGAGGGTCCATTGGTTAGCGCGGCCACATGACCACGCTGACCAATTTTAAAAATCTTTTCTGGTCACGTGACTGCGCTGACCAAAAGTTTTTTTCTATTGGAATGCAGGCCTAGATGAAAGAAGGCTCAGAAGAGATTCTCATTGATGAGCGTGGACACCTTGGCGCACTGATCAATGACTGCTCTCCATTGCAAGCATTATGTAACCTCACGGTCTGTGTAGAGAAGTGTTCAAGTAAGGATCATTATACAGGTGTCTGCATTGGGCGATGGTCATCTGTGCAACTTGATCTATGCCCAGAGAGAGGTGTTAAAACAGCATTGTATGTGGCAGACAATAGATGTCTCATCCCCCGCCTCTATTCAAGCATGGCTTCTTCATTTTTACATAACTGGCTACTTTCACACCACTTTTGAACCAGTCCTCCTCACTCTCTAGGTTGAGGGGTGGGGGGTGAGACACCTATTGCCTGCCACATACATGCCCTCTCTCTGGGCAGCTTTCCCCCAAAAAAAAAAAAAAAAACTGCATTTCCTTTGCAGCATTTTGCATAAAAAAAAAAGCTCTACAAAAAAAAAAAAGTTTTAATTGTTTTAAAATTTTATATTCTTCTTTTGAAACTTGTTTCTTTCCTCCGTTATTTTTAAACTGTACAGCGTCTCCTTTATTTTAGCTCCGGTGATCTGATAACTTCAAGCCTCTCCTTTTTTTGTGGCACGATAACCGCATATTCTTTCGCTGTCAGTCTTCGGCACAAAACTGCGTCTTTATTCAGATCCCACTTTTTCCGTTCAGTAAAATATTCATAAAATACTCATCTTGCAAAAAAAGTAGGTCAAGATTGTCCTCCTCTTGGCAAGCCGAGCTCCGGTTTGATGTTATCTCTCTAATCGCTCCCAGAGCTATTTTTAAGCTCCTGTTTCTGTGTTTTTAAGAAGCCGGATTGAGTCACCGAAAATAAATTGTTCGTTATCGGTGAGGATCTTTGTAAGGAATAAGTGTTGGGACGGGTTTAGAAAGTTGGCGGAAAAAGCGGATCTCCGCCTCCTTCTTGATGGCATGAGAGTGGGACAGTGAGATGGTAATAAACTTTGCAAAGGGTATTCCTTCCCTATCATGTGTCTGCGCTGGCTCTTCAATAATTCATTGTGCTTGGCTAAAGCTGGGACCTTTTAGCCAAGCACAAAGGTCCCGTATTTGTAATAACATCCATAAGAAAAATATCAGAACATTTAATAATGCCATAAGAATGACGTTCACAATTTTATTTAATTTTAACATTGGATTTTGGGAATTAATAGAATTTCCCAAATGAAAACCACATTCGCTGTTAGAATTTTGTCTGCTTAAAGGAGAACTATGAGATGAGTGATTTCCACTCACCTCATAGTTCTAGCCGACCTGTGACAATGAGACTGTCCCAGGTCGGCTCAGTAGATCGGGAGGTGAGCGAACACATACCGGAGTTCGCTCACCTCTCGATCCTGTCACGGCTCTCTGCCGTGATAGGGGAGGGGATGGATTCTCCCCTCCCCGCTCCGATCTGCCAGCGCTGACTGGCGGAACGGACGGGGGAGGGGCGGGGACAGCTGGCACTGCCTCTAGATAGGCAGAGCCAGCTGTCACTCACGCAGCTGGGCGGATCTCGACATCGATGTCGGGATCCGCTGCGGCGTCTCAGTATACCGCGAGCTGTAGCTCGCGGTATACTGAGCCTAGGGTGACGGGAGGACGCTAGTTTGTGTCCTCCCGTTACCCTAAGGAGAACTATGGGGAAAAGCCCTGACCCCATAGTTCTCCTTTAACAAAGTTTCCATCCTGTTTCCTTTTTTTTTTTTCCCCCGTGTCACTTTGGTCAAAAACAATTGTGAATTTGATCATCTTTAGTTACACTAGGTAGCGTTATGCCACATTTGTTCATGATTGGACTTGTGAATTGAATGAGATGGAATAGGAAAGGTTAACGTAGAACTCTCGGCAAATAAAATCTTTTAACTTGCACTTGTGTTCCCTGTGATGGTTTATATCACTAGAAGTGCACTTTGTACATTTTACAAAACATTCTGTCTCTCCTTATCGTCTAGTTTGTCAAGTTTGCGAACATTGAAGAAGACACTCCCTCCTATCACCGGCGCTACGATTTCTTTGTGTCCAGGTTCAGCGCAATGTGTCACTCCTGTCACAGCGACCCCGAAGTGCAGACAGAGTAAGTCAAAGATGAAAGTTCCCCTTCACATGACACGCGTAGCAAGCGTTCTTTCCCCGTTAATGTGTTCCCACCTTGTCTCGCAGAATAAGAATTGCAGGCATACGAGGGATCCAAGGTGTTGTCCGCAAAACCGTAAATGACGAGCTTCGCGCCACAATATGGGAGCCGCAACACATGGATAAAATCGTTCCGTCGTTGCTGTTTAATATGCAGAAGATCGAGGACAATGACAGGTATGTAAGCAAAGAGAACAAGAACACAGAGAGGAAAAAAAAGGGAAGAGACATTATTGCCCAACCAGCCAGTAAGATTCTAGCTCTCATTTCTCTTGTGCACATTGGAAAAGGAAAGCTATCAAAGGTCGTTTTGATTGGCCGCAGGGTCTTGCAAAGATTGAGATCCCTGACCCACCCAATGCCAGCCATGTGTAAGTCAGCCAGTGAGCAGCAGAGAATTTAGATCGTCACTTCTTTTGCAACTGATGGCTCCCAAATAAGAGCTGAGTTTTTGTTTTTTTTCTGCAATAATGATATGCTAAGGAGGGGATGGGAGTTTATCATTGTATTTTTGGAAAAGATGACTGTTCAGCTAACCATACACTATACAGTCTGGGTGTACAGTCTCCTTTAGAATTACCAAATCTGTGTAATGAAGCAGGAGCTTGTATTACTTTACACTTCCTGGTAGATCTAAAAGGAGATTGTATAATCGGATTGTATCGTGTATGGCCAGCCTTGAGGGGGGTGTAAAGCTGGAGTTCCCTTTAAGGCTACTGTCGCCCGTGGTGGGATAGCAGCCGGCGGGGGGAACCACAACAGACAGTGGGGTACCCCTTGAGGGGGGGGGGGGGGGGTGTAAAGCTGGAGTTCCCCTCTTAAAGCTACTGTTGCCTGTGGTGGGATAGCAGCCTGCGGGTGGAGCAGACAGTGGGGTACACAGGCCCACAGGTGGTGTCAAGACTTTGACACAGGTGGTGTCAAAGTCTCTTAATACTACTCGACTGTGGGCTCTTCATTGGTTTAAATTCAACATGTTCACAGTTTACTCTGAGGGGAAGATTTATAAATCATCTGACCACCCTCATGGTCGGTGAATGCCGTTCACATAGTATCCACACCACCAAATGGAGCCGAGGAGCATAGGAAATTTCCATGCTCCTCAGCCCCATCTAGTGGTGTGAACAGCATTCGCCCAAAGTATAGCTGAGCATATCTGTATAAAAAATAAGTCAAGGCAAATGGACTTGCTGTGTTTTTCTTGACGTTTCACTGGTCATCCAATCAGCTTTCTCAATTCTGAATTGAGAAAGCTGGTTGGATGACCAGTGAAACGTCTTCAAGAAAAATACAGCAAGTCCAGTTGCCTTGACTTATTTTTTTACAGCTATACCATGACCTGGATGAATGAGAACCTTCACCGACATATAGCTGAGCAGACTATTTATAAATCATTCCATAAAAGTATGCTTCCCCTGTTACATTGGAGAGATTGGTTTTTGCCTAACATGAAGAATATCTCCTGCAGTATGGCAGCGACTATTCACAAATATTCCATCACACAATGTCAACACAGTACAAAATGAACTCATCTGCTCGCAGGGAATCCAACGACAGTGCTGCCTTGTCGGAATCAAAGCCGTCCTTCAGTTGTCTCCTCTGTGCGGCGCTTGCAGTGCAGTTAGCGAGCAACGTTTCCTGAATAGTGATTTTTTTTTCTCTTGCAGCCGCATCGGCCCCCCGGCATCCCCAAGCGTCACTGAAAAAGAGGAGAACCCTGGGGTCCTGGCCGAAAACTGCTTCAGAGAATTACTTGGAAGAGCCGCTTACGGAAATATGAATAATGCCGTGCGGCCAGTGTTTGCGTAAGTATAAATATATAAGTCTATAAAAATATCAAAGTGTCTGTGTGTGTGTGTGTGTGTGTGTGTGTGTATATATATATATATA